AACTCGGCGGGGCCAGATTTCACAAGCATAGAGCAAAATTGCTCTCACCGACACGTTGTAGATCCGACGTTTTACAGCCAGAATATCATCACGAAAGCGCGAAAGATAGCACAGATTGGCATGACCCGCTCTGGTTTTCAATATACGTGAATTGGTCACATCACTTACGCTACCACCAGCATTTATGCAGATACTTAGATACACGAACTTCTATCTTCTCACTACCCAGGATGAGTGCAGGATCAAGATCTTGCCAGTCTTGTAAAAGTACTTTGCACTTCGAAGGTGCATCAGATTCACACCGCCAATACTTACATCCATCAGAGCTGTTTCCAGAATGTCATCGATGGAAAAGTTGAGGAGGAATGGTGAGGTTAGGTGACCCCATCTAACCCCACTGACTGAATGGAACAATGGAGAGAGGTGGTTGTATGCCCTCACTCTGTCTGAGGTGTTTGTATATAGGGCCTTTAAGATAATAATAAACTTCTCAGGCACACCCTTCTTCAATAGACAATCCCGGAGAACAGTCCTATCCAACGAATCGAATGCAGCCCTAATGTCAAGAAACACTTCGACTACTGGCCTTTGATAAGTATGACGTTGTTTTAACACTTGGCGGAGGGTGAAGGTATGATCAATACATCCTCAACCAGAACGAATACCAGCCTGCTCCTCGCGAGTCAATCCTTCTCGGGTTTTGAACAACCTACGAAGTATGACGGAAACCAATAGCTTGGACGCGATCGGAAGTAGACTTAATCTTTGATAGTTCTTGCATAGATAACGTGAACCATTCTTAAAGATAGGGACGATTATCGACTCATTTAATGACGCTAGAACACTCTTCAACTGCCAAACCTTTGTGAGCTACTCAGACAGTTTCTTAATCAGAACGTCAACACTGTTTTTAAAAAGAGCCGGAAGTAGGCCATCTGAACCTGGTGGTTTGTAGTGCATCATGAGTTGGAGTTTCTTACGGATTTACGCTTCACTTGGTGAACCGGTCGTAACGGGCCACGGAGAGCAGAACCGTCCGATCGATGTTGTCGGGGCAGCAGACCAGTTGAACTGCTCCTCGAAAAACTCCACCGATCGTCCAAGACGTCGTTTGATGTTAGTAATACGCATTCCTTCATCCTTTCAGATTGTTTCGCTCACATCAAACTTGTTACTGTTAGTTGCTCAGATGAGTTGAAAAAGCTTCCGGCAATTTACCTAAAACTGAAACTTAAACCCTAACAAATAAAAATAACTCCATAAATAATATGATGCATTTGCATAATCAACCACTGCTATGTAGTACATAGGTGGTCATCAATCACCTGAGAGGAAGTAAAATCAAAGACTATGAACCGGCAAAAGTAAATATTGGGGCCCGGTAGTTGTGCAGTGTTTCAATGTAGCCTCTTCACAAGAAGGGCCTACTAGGCTTCACCGACTAGTTTCTTCGAGCAATTATAGCAAAGCTCCTTTTTGATCCTTCTATGTTGGCTGTCTCTATCATTATGAAGCACAAATCATCAAGAGTTGGGAAGTACACCCACTAAAAGGAAAACTGAGTCAAATGTAGATCATTATGAGAAAGGTGAGTTTTCACCTACTAATGAGTACATTAGTGAAGTAAAGATAAAGGAATCATACGAGACTGGAGGTCCGCCATTCATATTGTGGATGGTTCAGCATTAATTGAGCAAGTTTCTCTGACTGTTCATGTGCGAAATTGGTTTGCTGGTTAACCGATTTCATTCATACTGGTGGCTGCATTTCAATGTTCTCAAGGACTTTCTATAGGAATGTTTCTGATTACATCATCCCTCATAACTGTTGAACGGATTAATATATTTCAATGAGATATACTTTGTGTTATCTACCTAATTGAGTACTATTTAATAATGTACAATATGTACACGTATAATAGTATTTGTGATTGACGATTTACACCTGCTCTTACTCGTCATGTTATATAGGGATACTACCCCTAACTCATTGGTCTCACCGTAAATTCTAAGCATTCGTATTCTATGTTTGCAATAGAACTCAGCAATTGGAAATTTGACAGGCTATATTCAAGTAAATAAAACATTAGTAGATGGTTTCTGAAGGAAGATGAATCTGTTATCGACAGTTATTCTTTTCTCGCTTAAACAAGTGGATAAGTTCCAAACAGATGTACGTTCATGTTGCTTCATGGTTACGCTTACGAGTGATTGACATTTAAACGGACACATTACACAGGAGCATTTACATGCTGATAATGCTTGGTAATGAAACACGATAGCCGATTATAATAGTAGTTGATTGGTTAGATCTATCAATTGAATTAATTATTTAAGTTTAAATACTAATCAACATTGAATATTCACATGGCAGTTAGAAAATCTTCATTCCGAACCAATGGTGCACTTGAGCATCAGTATCCTGAAGGAACAAATGGCATATGAACCAATTATTGGTCACCGTTTACCACGGGACTGCATCTCCTGAGGTTGCTTCACTGCCTTGTGGATCAAACCTTTATATTCAGGTTGTTGTCCCTTAAGAAATTCAGCTTCTTCGGTTTAGGTACCCCGTCAGTATCTCAGCTTTCACACAAATCGAATGATTTATATGGAACATATCTATTTGATACCTTCTTGTACTAATGTTTATGTATTCAAATAAATAATTTCCATAGAAACACATATATTTTAGCTAAAATAATCTATCCAAACATCCACACACACACACACTCACATTTATAAATAAAAATGTATAAAATAGAGGAAGACAAAAGTGTAAAAGCAAACAAACAAACAACAATAGAACGTCTGTCTGTTAACCATTTGAAAACATAAGAAATAGAACCATAAAAAAGGAACAAAAACCGTTTTGGCAAAATCAAACAAACAAACAAACAAAAACTCCATTATTAAGAGAGAGAAAAAAATACAAAAATAACTTGAATCGATTATTTTTTTGTATTGCGTACAACAAACAGATAAAAACAAACAAGTAAACAAACATTAAGACTTTGAAACGATGAATTCTTCTTAGA